GGACTACAAAGCAGAATCCTTTGCTGAGGGAACGCAGCCTCCCTTCCTTACCCCTCATGCTGAGACTCCCCTCCAGCACCTGTGAGGTCCTCACCTTGGCTGACCACGACACGCACCCCCTCGGGGTGGTCCCACCCGCTCCCTGACCCCACTGATTCCGAAGGGGGAGGACTCGTAGCTGGAGACTGTTCTCGGTGAGGGGGCTGCTCATCGAGAGAGCTCCTGGCGCTGGAGGGAAGTCCTGGGTCCAGGGAGCAGGCGGCTTGCTGGGGCGGGAGGACACGGTCAGCCTGGTCGTGGCTTCTGGTCCACTGCAGGGGTTGGTAACCAGGTGCCCTCACTCAGCAGGTGGCACGGCGGCCTGGCACTGTCCAGCGTGGCTCCTGACAGCGTTCGCTCACTCGCTACCCGCTGGTGAGCACTCACCTTGTCTAAACTCTGTGACAGGTATAGGACTGAGCGGTTCACATAGACACAATCCCTGGGTCTGGGGGCCTGACACAGCAGTGAGGAGGTGGACGTCGAGGAAAGAGGTGAGGCAATAAAGGAAAAGAACGGGCTGGTTAGAGAGCCTGCCGAAATGCAGAGACCCGGCCTGGTCAGAAGGGCGGGAGGTTCCGGAGGAAGGGCGTTCTGCAGAGCTCGGAGGGTGAGTGGACTTCACTGGGCGTCATGGGTGGGAGAGGGTGGGGGCAGAGAGGAGCATCCTGGGGGGGCAGGACGCTGTGGCAGGAGGGATAGGACTGTCAGGGGGCCACTGTCATCAGGGCACAGAGGAGGGTGGAGGGAGCAGGCCCAGGGTTGAGGTCTTTGCTTCACTCTAAGCAACGAGAAGACATGAAGAACGGGTTCGACTTGGCCAGATTTGTGCTTTGAAAAAGGTCAGTGGCGCTGCAAAGCAGAGGATGAGTAAGATGGGGGGTGGAGAGGGACACAGAGTGACCTGGTCACCTCCCCAAGCACAGTCTGCGGCAGTGAGGATGTTTGGGGGTCGGACGTTGACTTAGGTAACCTCCACGGAGGGGCAGAGGCACCACTTGAAGCAGCCGCTTGTCCAATCCACTCCTTCTGGATGGCCGAGAACACTCCTCCGACACCCTCTCTGCCCTGCACCCCGCTTGGAGGGGGACTTTTTCAGAACCGTTTGTACCACGCAAACAGCGCTGGGCCCGGAATTCAGAGACTGAGTTTCCGGAGTTTCTGTCCTGGCTCCTCCAGTCGGTTTCCTTGGCCGTTCAGCTTCCTCCTCGCTTTCGAGGACCGAATGAGGTGATGGAGGGAAGAGACTGAGCCCGCGCCCGATCGGAGCTCACGTTCCTTCCCTGCAGGACGGTTTTTGCGCAGTGATTAAGCAGCCAGTTTTAAGTGCAGCTTATGTAAGACCTGACCGACACGGAGTAAGGGGTGATTACTTTCCTGGGTTCTAGCACGTCGCCGTAAGCACAGGAGCACCTGCCGTTCCACTGCTTCGAGTCAGCACTCACATCTGGCCTCAGATGTCCTCTGAATGACATTGGGCAGGGTGAGCACAGCTGTGCTGCCCTTTCTGTTCCTTCTCTCCAGCGAGTCCCCCAAAATGTGAAGACTGTCACCTTGCAGGAGGGCCCTGCTGCTATGGGTTAGGGAACACCTGCCCTTCTCTTTTGGGGGCTCAGCTGAGAGCTCGCATTTTCCCGGGCAGAGCCCATTGCAAATAGCATATTGTTCCCCCATCAGTATACATATTTGTGCAGAGTTTTCTGCCTTAACTTAGGGGTCAGAACTGATGGTCATCACAGGGTTCTGACCCTCTAGAGACGATGCTTGGAAGCCATTCAAAGGCAGGTCTGATCCCAGTGCTGACAGGGGCATCCTCCGTCCCCCACTGGGTGCACTCACGCCCTGCCTTGGGGAGTTTTCTGAGTGACACCTTCACACTTACAAACTGCAGGGGGCGAGGGAGCCTCATTTACAGGAGACGACAGAGATTCTGCACGGTCCCTCACATACGTCGCCTCTGTTCTCAGCCAGGTCAAATAATTGCTGGACTGAGTTCTTCTCATAACCACATGCTACTGCAGCCTTCGTTCTGAGAAAACAACTCGGGCAGCACAGCTGGGGTGGGGAGACCCACGTGGCTGGGCTGAGGAGGCACTGTGAGTCCCTGCTGCTCCTCCTGACCCGTCAGCACCAGCTTCTGCTTTCCCCAGTGACAATGAAGCGTCAGAAGTTGGCTGTGTGGCCTCAGGCAGCAGCTTTTAAAGAGGGTCTGGATTTAAGTGAAGGCACCAATCCTGTGGGGTTTTTGAAAGAGTCTAGTGTCTTCTTATCTCAGGGAGCCTGGGGTTGGGTAGACGCCTTCAGAATGTCCCAGGGGCCAACTAGTTGGCCAATCTGTTGGGATACCTTTAACTTGGGCCTTCTTTCTGTTTTTTTTTTTTTTTTTGGGGGGGGGCATGTGCCCCTAGTGGGAACCGAACCCAGGACTCTCTGGTCCACAGGCCGATGCTCCAACCGCTGAGCCAAACTGGCCAGGGTGGGCCTCCTTTCTGAATGGGCCACTATGTGATGCTTTTATTATCTTAACACGAGTCTTGTGTGGTTGGAGAAAAGTCATAATGAATTGAGCACTATTTTAACCTGACTGTGATCCTCATTGTTAACCCTCTACGTTACCCTCCTGGAAAAGGGCCATGCGGGTTGGGGGAAGTGAGGAGGTTTGGATTCCAGCCAGGTCACCCGTGCTGTCCGGGGCTGGTTCGATCTTCCGCCTGGTTTGCCCCTCACCGTCTGTGGATGCTCGTACGGAGACCGTCTTCCCAGAAAGCGGAGGCTGGTCTCAGTGTGGGATCTGCTTACTGAAGTGCTTCTCCAGAGGGTCGTTCAGGTCCACAGACCTGCGACCTTGGAGTCCCAGGCACTGGGGACGGGGCGGAAAAGGCACCATCCACCCTCGAAGGTACCTTAAAATCACCCCACATTACCTACGGACCGGGCTTTGTAGCTTATGCAGCTCTTTGCCACACATCACCTCGTTTCATTCTCGAACTATGGAGAAGACCAGGGAGGCATTATTCTCCTCATTGTCAAGACAGACAGACAGACTCAGAGTTCCAGGGACCCGCTCATGGGGCGCAGCCGAGGCAGGAACCCGGGGCCTTTGCCTCTACAACAGCCAGTCTGCTCCCACCCCCACCCCGGGTTAGAAGTAGGGAGGGGGCATTTGGAGCAGCTTGGGAGTTTCTCGGGCACGCCCTGTGGGCAAGGCTGCAGGAGTACCCCTGCTTGTCCAGCGAGTCTGAGAGGACCAGGCGGCATCTTTGTGTTCTCAGTGAGAATACCGTGGTAAACATCGCTGCTGTTGGTGATGACACCCTACTATCCACACACTTGCAATTGCGTTTGGCTTCTTAAAGGCTTTTTGGTGGCTTGTTTCACCACTGACACCCCAACCACCAGCCCAGCCGCGGTCTCCTTCCCTTCCCCCGAAGCTGTGGTTCGGCCCATCTGTGATGGTGGTGGGGTCAGACTGGTGAGAGAGCATCGGGAACACAGTGTGGGGGGTCTTCGCCAGGGGCGCAGACTGCCTGTGCAGGCCGAGGGGGAAGCCAGTGGGTGAACGTGCAGGGCAGACGAGGTGCGGAGCCTGCGTTCCTTCCCGAAGGGCTCCGTGCTCCGCACCTGCTTCTCCAACCAGGCGGGGCTGCCAGGTCTTCAGGTGCTTTCCAAGAGTATCTGGACATCTAGAATGTTATGTAAATTCTCCTGGTAGGTTGTTAAATATGAATGGCTCATTTTTAAACCTGTGTGGGTCAACACCAAATAGAACAATCCGTGAATCTCTTCGGCACCTCCCCTCTTTATGTTGGAGGTTCGGAGAGGGTTTTTCGGAGGAAGGCGCTGGGACACAGAGTCGGGTGAGAGCATCTTTATTGCCGGCAGGGTGCTGCACCTTCTCCGCGTTGGTGAGAAGGACAGAGAGACGGAAGGGTTACAAAGCTGTTGGAGCCAGCTGTACACAGAACTCCCAAATGATCACTTTCAAGCTGGGTCTGTTTAAATACCCACCGTTCTGCCTTTGAACAACAGACTCGGCCTTTCCCCTGCTCTTCACCTGGTGGGGGAGGCGCTCCTGCGAACCTCCCCGCGGTGCCCGCAGACGGCCGGCTGGGGCAGGGAGAGACCCCTGCCCACTACACCGCATCTTTCCCTCGCGGCCAAGAAAGCATACTGGGGTCTGAATAAATGAGAATGCTAAAAATATATGAATGGCCTTCCACTGACCTTAATTAACTTTCCCAAAGTCATCACAAGCGCTGGTATTTTACCTGTCATTAGTCATGGTTCACGTGTGACACAGCTCACACATTTCAGGATGACGTGGTTAAGAGGTGTTTTAAAAAAGAAAGACAAGAGCTTCCAGACAGACCAGCACTCCCTTCCTCGGGTATTTCCAGCCCAGCTCCTAGTCACCTTTAGGGTACTGTTCACAAGGATCTCAGTCATGTCGCCAGGGACACTTGAACTTTTGAGAAAATATGAGGGAGATAAAAGATGGTGTTCTCCAAAGCAACCAGGGAGGCAGAACCCACACACCCTCACCTCCCTACCTGGAAGCCGGAGCCCCCACCCGAACTGGTGTTTGGATGATGCTAAGTCAAGTCCCGCCCGGCAGCGTAAGCCGAGAAACAAAGGATCCCAGGTTCTCCATGTTCTTTGCTCCGGAAATCGATCCGGCGGACACAGAGCGTTCCCTGTGACCTCCACTGTAGGACGCCGACCTGCTCCTTCCCACTGAGTTTGAAAACAGAAATTCACGAGGTGGGAATGGGGACCAGACTCAGGAAAGCAGAGGGGCAAAGAGGAGACTGGCAACCTGATACAGTGTGTCTTCTGGGGATAGAGGTGTCTGGATCGCAAAGGCACACTATGACAAAATGAGAGCAGAAACAACTATTTTTTCCTAGGTTGCCATAGGGAACCAACCTAACCTATTTACACGTGGTCTCGGGGGAATATCTTTAAATAGCTATCTTGTCACCGTCCTTTTCGTCATCTTCCATGATCACTTTGGGTCTCTCCTCCATGAGTAGGGTCACATCTGCAAAACAAAGCACAGGTTTGTAACGAAGGGCCTCTGCTTAAACTATTAGACAGCCCTTCAGCACGGACACAGCACACAAGAGCTCAGCAACCCAGAAACCTTTCGGTGTCTGCAAAGCTAAAGGTGTCTGCAACCAAGACAGGGAGGGAGCTGGGTGGCCTTATTCGGCCTCCCCAGAGGCTGTGGCTCAATGAGGACACCACTTGGGTTACAACGGGACGGGAGGCTCAGCCTGGGGCTCCTGTCCACATTCTGTGTGTCTGCTGGCAGCCCTGCAGGGAGGGACGCGCGCTCCAGTTTTGGAGACCAAATGACTTGGATTCCTCATTCTGCCACTCAGTCTGTGTGGGGTCAGTTAACGCTTTTACAGCTCAGTTTTCTCTTAGGGAAAATGAGGAGAGGGGCACTTATATACAGGGTTATCTTGACAATTAATTGAGAGGTACGGACCGACGCTCAGCCCAGCGCCACCCCTGCGGCAGCCCCTTTCACAGACTGCTACGTTATCCCCTCGTAAGGAACAGCTAAGCCTCACGAAGTCGCACTTAAACACATCTTACTAACATCTGGGGAAAATGGCGAGCTTAGGGTGAACACGCCACTTCTAAATGTCAGTACTGGTCGTTAATACAGTTAACAGAGTTCGGAGCAGAACGAGAAAATACGAACTGGGTCGCTGGCTTTTCATACACCTAAATGGCTGCAATGTACAAACGCTGTGCTTTGTTTCAAGGTGATTCTTTTTCTTCTTTGGGGGATGAAAATATCTTTTCTCCCAGGACATTTTAGGGATGTCAGAAGGTTTCTTCCTTAGCCTTCTTACCAGGCAAAATTCAAAGTTGCTATCCATCCCTCGACTGGGCCCCACAATATTTTGTCTTAAAATTTTGCTGGTCTGTGGCAATCTGAAGCCTGAACAAAATTTTCTGCACTGACCAGCCCAGAAAAGACCATCCGAGGAGGTCTGGGTGGATGTGTTATCCTGTGAATTGTGAAGTAGGGTCGCTTGAATAAAAAGACAAAGGAAGCTGCGATTCAAGGCCAGGCCTCCGTGACCCTGTCGCCCCTCCCCTCCCCCGCCAGCCAGTTCTGTTTCCCACCACGCCTTGCACTGCCTGCCCCCTTCTCATAATTAGCGAATTACGTTCACGATGCATTTCATAAAGATCTCGACTTCCGGGAGAAGGTCTGTGCACCTCGAGAGGCCTTTCTCAACCCCGGAACCCATTCAACAGCAGCAAATTAATGACAACCATGTGCTGGTCTTAATGACTACTCATTTGATTCAGTTCCTAGCTTGCCCATACAGATTCTTGACCAGTTAGCTGATACTTATTGGAGGAGAACACAATTTCAGGAGTCCAGCTGAAACCCAGTCTCTTGCATAGATCACCTATGAAACACAGTGGGAGCTATTCTTCTCCTCCCAGCCGCACAGAGGGTTGGGATTGTGTTTGGAATTAAGGCCACCTCGGGAGGAGGACACAGAGTTGGCAAGGCCCAGCCAGCAAACTTTCCATCTTACCTTCCTTGATATCGCTTGAAGCCAAATTCGGTATCAACTCAAAAAAAGGACAAGAGGCTTAACATTCCCAGATCCCAGTCAACTTTCTGATGATTTTGAGTGTCCTTGAAAGCTAGCCCTATGAGCATCTTGGGATTTCAGGGAAGGGAGGAGCCTGTTTCACTCGGGGTCAGCCATCAGAGTCAGCCCTTCCCAGCGTGGACGAGGCTTTCCAGGGACAGGGGAGATCATTGCAAGTGAAGAGTGAACCGGCATTTGTATTTGAGTAGCTGAGCATTAATTTTAATATCTTATCATGAAAAATACACAGTTCATCAAAACCTTGATTTCATGACTATGACAGCTTAAAATGGGCCTTCCATCAGGAGCGTCTGTGTCTATGTAGTCATTGCCTTCTAACTCTTGCTGCTTACTCTTGTTGGTTTTAGTGAGTTGAGAAGGAACAAGGTTTCCTAACCATTGTCTTTCTGGTTTAACCTAGTTCTAATCCCCGTGTCGTGCTGTGGGAAGCAGAGATGGGTCACTGAAGGGGTGTCCTAGGGCCAGAAAGGTCTGCCTTTGGCAGTCATTCAATTTTGAGTAGGTCATTTCATCTGTCTGAGCCTCAGTTTATCACCTGTGAAACTGGTGATACAAATACAAAACATAAAGACTTTGTATTTCCCGCAGGGGATCATGCCACCGGCAGATAGATTTAGGCCAACATTCTTTTGGGGCGGCAACCACAACCTTACCAGAAGCATTTTTACATCGTAGGAATCACTGGACAACACGTCCGTCTCCCCCACTGGCTGATGAGGTTCTCAGCGGGTATTTTAACACCCAGCACGGGGCTTGGAATGCAGTGGGAATTTAGACAATGTCAGTGCCTCCCGTCCACCCTCTGTGTAGGAACTTGGATGTCTGTTAGAGTTTGCTGTCCTTTCCACAAGTACAGTATTGAGCTGTGTGATCACTAATGCTCATAGCTCATGATCCAATTTTCCGGGGGCTTCTTTTCGATGAGTCTAGCCTCATTATTCTTTACTGTCCCTGGTACCTTTTGCCAAAGATTGCCCCTGAAGACTTCATTTTCCTTAAGTAGACCTCAGCTACTGAGATTTGACCAATCACAACCCAGTGCTCCCTGCCACACAGTCACCAGGCTGGAGGCCCCTGGCAGCTGGGAGCCAAGCTGGGAGCAAACCTTGGGTGGTGATGAAGGCCGACATGGCTCCTTACTGAGGAGACGTCTGGCCTTTGGAACCCATCAGATACACTCATTAACCTGGGGAAAGAAGGTAGTTAGCCAGAGAGTTAGAACACAGCAAATCGCATCCAGTCTTCACGAGCCAAGGGCTAATGAGAAGAGACATCTCTGGAGTGCATTTGTCTGTGAGCTCCTCTCAACACCCCGCTAAAACCAACGTGAGTCTCTGAACATCTGCTGAAGGCTCCATCCTTGTCAGCTTAACTGGCATTTCGATGACTGCCAACTCTTTAGATACTAAAAGGCTCTTCAAAACTAAAGTGCTTTAGCTGATATACAAATAAAAGCTAGAATCATTGAACAGTGTCTATCATTGCAAATACAACGCAGAGATTTGCTGATTCAAGCAATTTCAGCATGTGTCCAGAGCCTATGGATATACAACCCCCTCCCCAACTCTGTGAACTTTACACTGTTTATAAACATTTTTTATCCAACCGGAAGCTGCTCCCTTATGATGGAGATATTAGGCTGAAGGCAGCTTCCATTGCTGGATAAACAGAGCTCAACATTTCAGGAAGCTCCTTGAATTAGCAGGTTTATATGGAGAGATAACGAAAACATGGTGGCTAGGAAAATTCTCACCTTTAGAAATGGTTTGACTTCTCTTGAAAAATATGAGGTTGAACAGAGAATGAAGGGGAACTGACATGTACTGAGGTCTCTCGATAAGCCAGGGACCATGCTGAGTGCTCTATGTACTGTATTTAATTGTGTTAACAATCCCAGGAGACAGGTTTTACGGTCCTCCTTTCAGAGATGGATGAAGCAGAGGAGGCTTTTGTAGCCTGTGGTGGTTGCCTAGGGTCACAAAGTTAGAACAAAGCAGAACCAGAGATCAAGCCCAGACCGTTCTGACTCCTAGCCCGTGTCCACTGCTCTGTACTAAGGTGACTCCTCCACCACATCCTCTCCTGGAAGAACTGCAATAAGAATAAATACAAGGATGGGTAGAAAGTAATCAGCCTCCTAATGGAGAAGTTGGAACTGCAGAATTATGAATTCCAAATATTTTTAAAAATCCAAATACTTATTGAGCATTGCTGTCTACAAGGGACTAGACTCGACATCCAGGTAAATACAAGCAACCTAAAGCAATCCAAGGCCAGTTCTCATGAATTTATCAAACAACTCATAGACCTAAGTCAACTTAAATAACAACCACAACAGCAGCAACAAGAACAGTAAGAACAATACTGAAAGAGATGACAAAGTCTGGGTATTGGCATGTCCACGTCTAATCCAGAGCTAGTCAGATTGCTATACTAACACAATACAATGAAACACTGCCCACAGGTGAGACAGACCTGGGTTACAACCCCCGGTGTTTGATTTTGAGTACAATTTGATTCATTCATCTCTCCTCTAATCATCCCATCATCAGTCCAATCAATCAATCAATCAATCAATCATCATCAGCCATTCATTCATCAACTTTATCCACAGAAGACTTCAAAGTGGCTAAGTTACTCCTTTAGTTAATTTTTTTTTTTTTTTTATCCTCACCCGAGGATATTTTTCCATTTTTTTTTGTACAGATAGAGTGGGAGGGAGAGAGAGGAAGGGAGAGAGAGAGAGAAACATCGACGTGAAGGGACACATCGAGTGGCTGCCACCGCACGACCAACCAGGGCCGGGGACAAACTGCAACCGAAGTACGTGCCCTTAGCGGGAACCGAACCAGGGTCTCTCCGGACCGCAGGCCGATGCTCTAACCGCTGAGCCAAACTGGCCAGGGCCAAAGTGGCTAAGTTACTTAAATTCTCTCTCAGTTTCTTTATTTGTAAAGAGAGATAACAGCTACTTTATTGTGTTATTCGGTTGGTTTTTAAAATTCAATCCCCTACCACCCTGCCCCAACTATATAAAATATACACACGCACACACAGAGTCTTATACTCTAATCATGAACTGTCCATGTCTTATCTCCCAACCTGTACATAAAATTCTCAGGGGCAAGACTACCTCACACAGCAGATTGGCTGCCTTCTAGCCTGGAGTTGTGAACAACGCGAGCAAGATTTCTTGGCTTGACCTGACACATGTTAAGACAGCTATCATTATTTCTGCATCCCTCCTTCTCTGTCTCTTGTTTGGAGGACTTGGTCAACGTGTCCGGGTGTCTTGGGGAATCAGACATCAGCTCTAGGATGCATGATCCTGGGAAGACTGGGGAGGAGGGTATTTCAACTTTTCTCAAGGACCTGCTGACATTCCTGTTTCATCGGCTCAGTGCACTTGGCCGGTTCTGCTGAAGTACAGATAAAGCTCTTGCCCTCCTCCCGCCTCCATGGCAGCCCCGGGGGAGCTGCCAACGGGGGGAACCTGAAAGGCAGCAGTGAGGCTGCCCCTCCCGGAGCACTTCTGAGCCACACAGACTGCTGGGCAGGAGAAAGGCCATGCCCGTGGCACCTCCAGATGGTGAGGCTCTTGACCTGTTCCCAGCACCCCCTTGCAAATGGCCTGCACCAGCTCTTTTTACCTGCTGCAAAGGGGGACGTGTGCAGGGCAGGTGTGTCTTTTCTCCTTGGCTTTTTCTGTTCCAGGTCAGTGTTATGAAGAGCTGGACTCATTTTGCCCTTTGGATGTCTCTCTTGGACCTCGTATCTTTTAATTAATTGTTCTGAAAGCACACCTGCGTAGGGAGGGGAACAGAGGAACAAGGTCAGATCCATACATGCCACAGCCAAGGTGTGCACGTCCATCTCTGTACGTACACGCGGTGACGGTTGTCACTGTGCTTTTCAAACTTATTTTAATAAAAGCACCTCCCTCAAAGAATTGGTATCTATTGAGGCTATGCTAGAGAACATTTTTTTTTTTTTTAATCCTCACTTGAGGACATTTTTCCATTTTTTATTCAGATAGAGCAGGAAGGAGAGAGAGGAAGTGAGAGAGAGAGAAACATCGAGTGGCTGCCACCCGCACGACCAACCAGGGCCGGGGACAAACTGCAACCGAGGCACGTGCCCTTAGCGGGAACCGAACCCGGGTCTCTCTGTACCGCAGGCCGACGCAGAGAACATTTTCTAAGCGGAAGGTTTGACATGCCTGATTTGATGGAATATTGCTGTTACCATCTCACGTCTGAAGGGAGTGAGGCGGGGGAATGTGCCCGGTAAGGCAGCTCCCAGGCGACAGAGCCAGGACGGGGCCCAGGCTCGCCCTCCTCTGCGGGGGAGGGAGGGGCCATTGCTGTTCTGCAAGCCCCGTGCTCCACTTTCCAGTGACGGACTTAGTGCCCTACCTCACCCACCTGCCTTCTCCCCTCTCTCCACTGAGAACCACTCATGTATAAGGACCTATTCTGTTAGAATTCACCGACAAACACTCTGAGAACAGCCTCCTCTGGAACCCGCCCACCGTGCACTGCCCGACTCAGCTCCCGGGGTCCTCACGTAAGGACCTCCAGTATGACATTCTTCTTTCTGCTTATTTCAGTGCCAGTTTTATTATTTATGTGTTTGTTTAAAATGCAATGTATCATGGCAAGGTTGGTCCTTCCCAGAGCACTCTGTTCTGGTTGCTCTGTCTTCCTCCCGGTGAGTGGTGACTAGGGAGGACCCCAAACAGGTGGCCTGGAGGGAGGGAGTAAAGGAAATAAGACAAAACAAAACCTTTGGGAACAAGAGAGCGTCACGTGTCACATGTGAGGTTGTTATAGGGACACACTAATGCTCACCACGCATTTGCTTTGCCCCCGGGCACATAGCTGGGCTACATTTCTCAGGCCCTTGCGGTCAGGCGAGGCCTGTGACGGGAGGAAGGGACGAGACCCTCTGCCGGTGCCTGCAGGGGGCTGAGGCGGGCGGCGGCTCAGGGCCCCCAGAAGCCACGTGTGGAGCTGTCTCAGCCTCCAGCATCCCGCGTCCCTGAGTGACTGCTCGGAGCACAGCCTGCCTTCCCCACCCCCATCTTCCACCACTGGTGAGTGAAAAACAGTCCTGTACTGTGTCATCCAGTAATATTTTGGAATTTGTCTGTTATAGCAGTTGGTCGCATTGTAACTAACACAAATGAGAAATTGTACCCATGATTAAACAACACCCACGTTTTGAAGAAAACAACACTGCAAGAGCGCTGTGATCTGGTAGCAAGCAGGGGCCTCTACAGGTGCGCAGTGACCCCGGGCCTCACCTGGGATGAAAGGCGGGATGTGCAGGGCTGGCGTGTCTTTTCTCCTCGGCGTCTTCTGGTCGGACTCGCTGTTCAGGGCGACCTGCGCATTCTTCCCCTTTCTTGGCTTCTTTCTGAGCTCACAGTCCTTAATGAACTGGTCGGAAAGGTCATCTGATTTGGACAGAAGGCAAAGAACATGAGGACATGACACCAGTACGGGTCTCATCGCAAACTGGTTGGTGTCCAGTCTCACCTGATGGAAGGAATAGAAACCATTGGTTTGAAAAAAACACACCAAGTGTTTCTTTTCTGTGGTCTCGTCTACAGAGAACTTCCGTAGCCTTGCGTGGATACATGTAAGAAAATGGAATACTAGAATTGTATAAAACTTCAAATGAAGAGAACTCAAATGGGATGGATAATCCAGGCAAAGAGAAACTTTGAAGTACCGTTAGGCAAGCCCGAGTGGGTTTCGGTTACATTCCTGATGGGAGAGCAGTTTTCCAGGCTGGACGCTCCTTCTCAACTTCCGGTGCTCAAGGCTTGTTTTCTTTGGAGGCCCAAGGCCAGTAGGAACCGCATGCTCTCTTGGGTCTGCAGTAGGGCACTCAGTACATTCGTATCTTCACTTGGCTGGCAGCCCAGTCACACTGATGACCCACACTCGGGCTTCACACTGGCTTTTCCACTGCCCAGCTTTGCAATTCTGTTTGTCCAAGAGCCTTCTTAGAGATTAAGGATTATGCCCCTTTTTGTAATTTTATTCTTAATTTCCCCTGTTCTAAAATATGCACGTTGAATGCTGAGTAGGTGGAATAGGGCCGATCTGAGTTCAAGTCCTGACTCTGACCTCTGCTAGTTCTGAGAACCTGGACCATACTTTCTGGAAACTTTGATATTCTCTCAGCTTTTAAAGTGGGGATGATATTAAGTCAGTGTGTGTGTGTGTGTGTGTGTGTGTGTGTGTGTGTGTGGTGAAACTAAAGTTGATAATGTTGGTGAAGCACTTGATACATTTGCTGTATTTCAGATGCTCAGAAAGGGTTTACTCTGGCCATTGCTCACCCTTAACTTCTTCTGCCAGGACCAGAGGAAAGCCCCCTGATATTCATAAGTGCTTCCACACTGACCCCAGGCCTGGGGCTCCATTCTCAATTTCTGAACACCCACAGCTTTTTTGCTCATGTGACACCTTTCAAAGATGATCTAGTTACTGTTGCTGCCTACGGCTTCTTTGCTCTCTTTGATGACAGGTGTCTTGTGTTTTATTTCCTTAACATCAATGAATAAATACTTGTTGAATGTATGCTTGAAAGAATGAACTCAAATACCTTATGTATAACAGTGGTTCTCAACCTGTGGGTCGTGACCCCTTAGGGGGTCAAACGACCCTTCATAGGGATTGCCGAAGACCCCCGGAAAACACATATTTCCGATGGTCTTAGGAACTGAGACACTATCCGTCTCCAGGCGGGTCCGCCCACATGCAGATAGGCCCATGTACAGCATGAGGAACTGTATTAAAGGGTCAGGCATTAGGAAGGTTGAGAACCACTGATGTGTAAGGACCTACTCTGTTAGAATTCAAAGGAACTACAGGGCAATAAAGCTATTTGTCTTCTCTGGAAACTCACTATTGCCTGGATATAGCCTAGCTAGATCTACAACCATGAATGAATTTGGGGAAATTCAGAGATTAATGGGATCTTTCAACCTCCCTCCCTCTCCTCCTCCCTTCCTCTTTCCATTTGTCCTCTCTCTCTCTGTCTCTCTTTTTATTTTAGGAAAATATTCAGGTCAACTTATTTCAAACATTGAAGATTATTCATGTATCAGACCTTTTCACGTCAGTGGACCTAGACATAACGTGTCATTATTCATTTATTTATTCAACAACTGTTGATTAAGCCTCTTCTGTATGCCAGGCCATGAGCTAGACTCGAGGACCGAAACAAGTAAGAGCTGGTCCCTGATTTAAAGTTGCTTACGGTCTACGGGACTTTATATCTAGATGCTCCTTTGTTTTAGAAAACTCAATATACACAAGGAATCTACCATCAGAAATATTTAATAACCATACATCATCAAAAGATTACAATACCTAACCAAAAAATCAAATAGCATCATTTAATAGTAATGACCATTTCCTTTCACCTAAAATATTTAATTCCTTTAATTTCAATTTAATAAACACTAATTGAGATTGTGATATTTGTAAGGCATGAGATGGTATGCTTTTAATTTTACATACACAGAAAAGGAGGTGAAGGGGGAGCTTTATTGAGTATCACTTATGTACTAGGTGAGTTCAAACCATTCTAGTGTGTGGGATGAACCAAAACCTTTCCTGATTTGTCAATGCTAGTGTTTACCAGGTGTTAAATATTCACAGGTGAGGAAAAAGAGGTTAGAAGACCTGAGAGAAGGCTGAGTTACATTACTGGGGGGTACAGGCACCAGGATTAAATCCAGGCTCTTGGGACTATGAATCTTAATGCCTGGTTGAAAATGCAATTTTAACGATACCACATGGCACAGTTCATTCCCCCACTTTATGCAGACCCTAGACATTTGCTGAATGAATGAATGTGGCTCAGAGTAGGTGCTGCCCAGCTGTGGGGTCCCTGGAGGCACAGGCAAGACATAAACTAGTCATGGGTCACCATTCAACCCCAGGATGCCACTCAGTCCACAGTATCAAAATCAAGACATTCGCTTCAATTGTGACTTTTACTTCAATTACGCATTTTCCCATTTTGGGAGAAATCTTGAACATAAAATATCTTGAAGGCAAATGGGGAAAGGGAAGGAGGGAGCCATAACCAGGCGAGGCATAAACAAAGGCTATGAATATGCAAAGGGCCCATCCGTCAAAGTCTGAGTGTCTCATTTTTAGAAATGGGTAGAGGCAGAAATGTTTCTGGCATTTTCATTACAAAGGTTATGCAGAAAGTCAGTTCTGGAAAGGAAACAGATTGACAATAAAGCAGAAAAGGGCTATTTAAAAGTCTGACTTGATAGGCAAAGAGAGAGATGTGAAATATCTTCCCGGCAGCCCCCATGGGGCGTGCTGTGCCAGGGACCACCGGAAACGAGCCACATGGCCACGTTCCACCGACTGCCTCAGAGACGCGCTGCTCCCAGCTCTCCCAGACCCCCCAAAAGATGGCAACGCCTCTTCTCTCTCTTTGTTAAAACTCAGATGATCTTCTCTCCAGGGCATCACTGAGTTTACATGGCAGACCCCAGGAACCCATGGCTATTTGTCTGCCCACCTGGGTTGGCTGGCACCTAAAGGCACAAACTATCGGGATTAGGGGGCCTCCCTCCCAACTGCCTGCAAACTAAATGGTGGAGAACTTTTTTCTGAGGTCCGTCCACCACTGACATTCCGCGGAGCATTTACCTAAGTGGCTGCAGCGAGTGTCGAGCTTGTCCAGTCTGTCTTCTGAGAGATCGAGTGGCTTCTCGGTGGACATCATCAAAGGGGGGTTGGAGAGCGGATTTCTTCCCCAGCGCTGCAGAAGTATAACACACACGTCCATTAGCATGTCTTCTATTCATTCATGCACTTGTTAAATAAGTGTATTTACTGGGCACTTACATGTTCCCAACTCAATCCCATTTTTCAAGTCTGTCTCTTCTACTTGGCTACTAGAAGCGCTAACATATGATTTCAGCTACAATAAAATAATCTCCCCCACACACATGCATGTGGACTTATGTAATTGTCATGTATTCAATATTCAATATTTGCCCTCTCTCAGATGCATTGTGGGAGTTTCAGAATGAACCCTTGTCAAGTGTGAATGAGAAATGAGTTAGCTGAGACTTAGTACAGAAAATGTTGATTGAACCTCACCTATATTTTTTCTGTTGAGTTCTGCACAGTAAGATTGGGTCTACTTCACAGATGGGGAAACGACGGCTCAGAAAATCTAATTAATTGATTTAATATTCTCATACATCTATTAAATAGCCACACCCCAAATCCACTCCTCTCCTGCAGACTCCCACTAGACATTCCAGTCTCTTAAAAATAAAGTGGAGTTTTGGTGCCCTAATTGAACACGACTTCTGGATTTGGACCATTCCATTCTCTAACTATAAATTAAAGAGACTTCCTCCCCAGTCACACTAAGATGTTGATAGAGAGGCGGTGGGAACATATCTAGGTCTCGAAACAGATCTTTATTATTTTCTCCCCAGGGGTTCCTGACATTAGAGCGAGTCTGTTTCCCCTCTTCCCCCCCTCCCCATCTTTCCTAGACCACAAACCCATTGAACTTTCCAGAGCTATTAGTTGTAGACATTGTCCAGGAGAAGTGGACACCCAGAATGAACATGTCAGGTCTGAACGAGAAACGCATTAGTGGAGATTTATAGGAAATCTTCACTAGAGTCTACCTCGATCCTGTTTCTTGAATTTCTTTCAGATAACTCATTGCCCAGGTCCGACCGTTGTAAGAATTGTTGGAGAGGAACAAGATTAAAATGACCCACCGGTCCTCTTCTCTTGAGATTCCTCGATCCCTGGTACACAGATGAACAGATGCACCAGCTATGTTCACGTTTCAAGTTCCTAGAATTAGTTCAACTCAGTTGTCTTAGGAGGCCTGAGCCAGTTTTCTTCGGGAGGCTGGAGGGCTCTCCCCCTGCAGGCTGAGATCATTGCGCAGCAGATGGAGCCATTAAGGGATTACTTGAGCTGGCTTTTAGTGTCACTCTGAGCAGACTGATGGTACCGAGTGACCTCAGCTGAAATCAATTTAGACCTTTGTCTTTAGTGCTTGTCTACAGACTTCCTACTCCCTGGGACCCTAAGGAAGCATGCTGTTAACTGGGGTGGCCAGCCCCCACCTGCTTGAGTAGAGAGGGAAGCCACGGGACCGTCTCTCGGGAGGAGTGGTCTCAGAGCTGGGGACTAGTGCCTGGGCATCTATTTCACCAAACTTCCTCTTCTTTGCGCAGAAAGGCATTAGCCCTGTCACCGACTTTGTGCTGAAAATCACCCCATGGAGAGAACCTGGTCGAAATATTCTTTCTCCGGAAGAAGAAACGGGGGCTCCAAGAGGTTAAGATGACCTACCATTAGTTACACTCTTTGAGTCGATCATCATCTGAAGTCACGACTCCTACCTTCACCTCTAGGTCCTATCTGACAACAACACCCCCTCCCCCCTTCTCTGCAACCCAGAGTCAGCTGTTCTTTGTGTTTAGACCCTCTGACTGCTCCTCTGTGCCTAGGAGACGCGCATGGAATTTAAACCTGAGCTTTCAAGTCAAGTGGAGCTAGATTAAATTTAAGTTCTTTAACTCAAAAGCCATAAGACTGTGACAAAGTAGCTCACCTTTAACGATGTGGTGAGGGTAAAGGGGTAAAGGGGGCCCAAGAGCTATGTCATCATCTGTGTCCTCCCCCCGACCAGCTATGGCTGCTGTGGAGACTTTGCAAAGCTAGAGCCGCTCTGTGTGCTGGCCAGCACCCAGAGGCATGCACTCCCCCTTCTTACCCTCAGTTTCCTTATCTGTAAAATAGAGATCATAGTACCCATCTGGAAGAGTGACCCTGAAGAATAAATAGGACAGCATTATGCTTTGCAAATTATAGGCACTTGAGTAAGTGGCAGCCATTGTTAAGTAATACTGTCTATACCTAACTAAACAGCCGGCTAATGAAGACCAGGTGTATAACTAAAAAATCCTATAAACGTATCGAACCTTCCGTTTTCATGTCAATGCTGAGCCATGGGCCGGCCAGCCTCCAGCTGAGCAAAACCGGGATCACTGGGCTGAACTTGAGAGACAGGGGCCACCCCTAGGAGACGAACCACGCAAATGTCAGAAGTCCCTGAGCAGGGCGGGGGTGGGCATCCAGGGGTCAGTCACACATCAGACACCTGCTTCCTTCCAGGACAGGACCTGGTGCCTCGGGGAACAACACTGTTTTACATCATGGGGATGAAAGAACACTGGCGGTGAGCTGGCAACCCTCTGTGCACTGGGGCCGAGAGATGACTTTTAGATTTGAGATGTTTCCCATTACAAAAATTCCCTGTGCTGGGCAGGGGTGCATTTTGCCTTGGGATTAGAAGATACTTTTATCGTGGATGATGACATTACGATCTCCTTGACAAAAAAAACAAAAAAACAAAACCTTCACGCAAAGAAAAGAACAAGTTAGGGGAGGAGAGATGCTTGGAGTCCGGCATCGCCTATCGATCATCGTCATTTACGGGCCTGCTGATGTCAGGGTGAGATGACCACCCCTCTCCATTCCTGTGCTCACGGGAAGGGTGGTCTCTAGGACTGAGCCATTGTCGGACATGAGCTGATCTAATTCTTGAGCTAAGAAAGGGATATCTACTTCCTGCTCCTTTCTTTAATTGTCTCTCCCTCAAGCATCAGCGAGGGACACTGCTGTCGTCATCCCGTCCGGAGAAGGTCATGATCTCTCAGCAGCTCGTTGTCGTGTGGGAATGTTCTGAAGCATCAGCTCTTTCTTTCCTAAGTAAATACCTGTTCTCTTGGGACTTCAGATTCCGACCAAAGGGCTAGGGCCCTACGTGACACTTTGGGGGTGCTCACAATTGTTCTCTAGTACAAAGATTAGTGACCTGTTAACATTCTTGAGACTTACCAGTTTAGTGTGGGCTCCGAATTTTAACAGGCACACGGTGACCACCTGGACTGCCGCTGTGATGGGAAATATCAGCCCGGCCACCCTCACCTGACCGGCAGGGCCCACATGCTGTGGACACCCGGAATCTGTGTTATTAACACCCAGAGGGTCTCAGGAAGCACCGCAATCACGTGCTTTACAAATATTTGCACTAAACGACATCGCTAAAGACTGCAAAAAGATTCGTATCCTTGCAGGGTTTGCTCCCGAATGCACGGATGTTGATTGAATCGAACAACAACAGATACAGGCGCTCAGAGTGTTTCAGATTTCTCAATGGGGGAATAAAGAATTCCGGGTCTGTATTCTTTTTTTCCATTGTTGTTTGAGAGAAGCTGAGTGTCTAGTGCAGCCTGTACAAGAGGTCAAGTGACATCATTTCAGAGGTTGGAGGAAGTTTTCGGGACCCTGATACTATACGCTTGCAACTTCCTCTGGCTCACTGTTCCACGTGAGCCCCCACCCCCCACAGAGAGACTCTTGTGAAGCAAATACCACTGAGAGAAAAGATACATGAACTGATGTCACCTGTAGAGGGGTTATTAATGACATAGGCCACTTTTTCTTTTGCGAACAGAAATGGAAAGTCCAGGGCCCTGGGTGCCGGGGAGGGACCCTCCCCCTGCGAAGTTGCGGAAGGACAGGCACCCAGAGCCGCCTGCTGAAGCCGAGGACACGCTGGGGGACCTGCCTCCACCAGCTCAGGCCAGTTTCTGCTTCAGGATGTCCGTGGGACTGTGTCTGCAGCTAAAACACATTGGTCAGTTTAGTTTGGGTCAGAAGCTGGTCTGGGATTTTGTCCTTTCGCTGAACCGTGAGTAGATTTCTCAGTTGGGTGTTAGAATACATAGTTTAATTCGTGGATGGAAAATTCCTCACTGACTGCAAGCATTTGGTATTGGGGAATGGTAGGAGGTAAAAATAAGTGTTGGGTTACTCGTGCGACCTTCTAGCTGGGTGAGCTTGGGAAAGTTGTATGTCCTCTCGGAAACTTAGTTTCCACATCTGTAAAGTGGGGATGACGGCGGCCTTCTCAGGGTTGAGAGTATTAACACACCGTGCGTGTCAAGCTCCCAGCGCAGACCCGGCACGCACGCCAACACGCGAAGGAGTGTCAGCTGCCTCCTTTGTTCTTTCCCTCTCCCCTTGTGATTACAGCAGGTGTGTCTAAACCGAACGCCTAGAACCATCTCCTCGTCCTACCTCTGGCCTTTCTGAAGCTCATGAGATCAGAACAATGCAAGGTGCAAACCACCCACTAGGTTTGGGGAATGGGGTGATACCGATTCTCAGGAAGGAGCAGGCTGACATTTAGTCCAACGGCATCTTCCAGGATTTCCCCCAAGTCATCAGGCCCGGATTTACTTGATGGGATAAAAAGTGAGGTTATGTCCACAGCCCAGCCTGGGGTCTGGGCAAACTACCGTCTGGTCATGTACAATGCATATCCTTTGTCATATCTCTTTCACCGGAGGATTGAATTCAGGTCAAAGGGCGTCACGTCTGAGAATCCGGTTTGCTCCTTTAGAAGACCTACATGTGCAGGAGTCCCGGAGGGGTGATCTTCCTCAAAGCGGGGCGTGGAGGGGCTTTTTGATAAGCAACGCTCCCCACCTTGAAGGGAAACCTCCCCACGCTGCTGTGGATACACAGCTACTCCAGGGTTCGTCTCGAAACTTCGCAATCTAATGTGCAAGGACCCTGGTTCTTACAGATCTCAGGACCCCACTTCCCTTGAAAATGATGGGAAAATAGTGACTTTTCCTGCTCCCCACCTAGACCAGCTCCAGAAAGCAAGCC